TACTGGGATTTATTAGGCAGAACTTTAGGAGTGCATACCCAAAGAGAGTGCAGGCTCTCAAGAGAGCAGCCCGTTAGTTTAGAACTGGCAATATTTATGTGTTTTTGGTGGTAGAAATTGTGGAATTTGTGAATCTATAGAAAGTTGGGACTTTGTTTACAAGAGAAAAGTGATGGCCCTCCTGCAGGTAAAAAGATAATGAATCATTGTACAGGAGAAATGTATGAGCCTACCCTATTGTATTTTTCTTTAAGAAATATGATCTAAGATATCTTGCCAAAAAACATTATTTGAAGCCTTTGATTCAGTTTCTCTTAAGATCAGGTTTCTGCTCTTTACCTTCCCAACTAATTTATAGACTTGCAGTATCTTTAAAGGAGTTGAGGTGTGATGCTCCTGAGAAAAAGAAACATAAGCCAGCCTAGAAGCTGCAGTCTTAAATGTACAATTACAATTAATAAATTATATTCTTTGTCTCCTCAACAATCCTTATTTTTTCTATCCTACCTCATCTGCCTCTTTCCACTTTAATCCCTTGTTCTTAAGAGCTGCAGAGGGGCTGAGGCTCCATCATGTTGTGGCTACTTGAGGCTGAGGAGGGACACTAAGCCTGCCTAGCCAGAGATCAAAAGTCTCACTCTGACTGATCTAAGGGAGGCATAAGAAGATGGGTTTTGTTGTTTGATGAGCCATCATCCTTTGATAGTCTGGAAAAAAGAGAACAAGGACCTCTGTCCAGAGGTGTTACTCTGGTGAATTTAAGAGCATACAGACCTTTCCCTGTTTTGTCAAAGAAATTCAATATCCAATCACCCTGCTTCGTAGGTATGTTGACTCACCAGAGTTGCAGGGTCCTATCATGACCTTGGTCCTGGCTGACTTTAGAGGGTAACAGCCAGAATATTAGCTGTACTCTTAGCCATTTTATCTTCTTTAGCTTTAGTCTCCAAGCCTCAGTTTTGGAATAGTTGAAAGGTCAGTTATGCAGTCTTGAAGTGGGAGCAGCAGGTCTTGATTCTACTTGTAATCCTTTCTGGATATAGGGGCACCAGACATGTAGAGTATTGAAAGGGAAAAACGGTACAAGTGAAATTGTTCTTTTAAAAACTTTGTCCTTGGGCTGGGGATTTAGCTCAGCGGCAAAGCACCTGCCTGGCAAGCGCAAGGTCGTGAGTTCGGTTCCCGGTACCGGAGAAAAATAAAAAAATAAAAACTTTGTTCTTTTGAATGGCTTTGTAATTACTGTCTTGACCCCTGTAATCACAGGCGCATAGCTGAACATACAAAATGCCTGATTGTACCATTGTACCAAGCTTCATTAATCTACTCTTGTAACTGATGATCTCACCCTGCTAGCTAATCAGAAGAACTGCCGGGCTGTTCTGTGTCACTTTTGTACCTCCTTTGTACTTCCTGCTCGTGCATCATATAAAAGCCCTGGACACCAGAGCTCAGGGCCCGATACTCTGGGAATGATCCCTATCAGTGCCTGTCTACATAAATAAACCTGCCTCCAAATCCTGGGTGTCGTTTCAGTGTTTCTGCTGGCCCATAGTATGACCAGAGAACAGCTATTTCCTCCTTTAAGTCATGGTCAGCATTAGTGTTGGACATTAGCGTCATAGTCAGTCATCCTGTAGGTGATGGTCTGCCATCTCAGCATACTGTTTAGGTTGTCTTTTAGAAGCCACTGTGGTAAGCTTTTGAGGGTGATGAGCACATTGCCTTTTCTCTGCTGTATCCCAGCACTGTGCCCAGTACGTGCTCAAGAAGTATTTGATACTGAGATTACGGAGTTACAGCTGAAACCTGGCAGGAGACAGAATGAGGTCTTAATGACCCAATAGAAATAAATAATACAACTGGAGTTTCCCTTACTTTGTTTTGTCATAAGCACTGATGAATCCCAAAGAATGTACACACAGTCTAGTGGGCTTTTAGTCTTTTTGCTTATTTGTTGTAGTTGTTGTTTTTGAAACAGAGTCTCAATTTGTATTTCAGACTGAATTTACTATGTAGCCCAGGCTGGCCTTGAACTCATGGTGATTCTCCTGCCTCTCCACCTTTGGGGTGCTGGGATTATAGGCGTGGGCCAAGGCACCAGGCTGGGAGGCTTAGTTCTTAACAGTATCAATATTCATTTAAATTTTCCTAACTCATTTCAGAAGATTCTTCGGTATCGACTCTGGTTGCTAAGGATTGGGTTCCCCAAAAGGCAGTGTGTTAGTTACTTTTCTGTTGTTGCTGAGACAAAATACCCAACACCCAAGGTTAAAGGGGGAAAGGTTTATTTAGCTCTCAGTTTGTAGAGATTTCAGTCGATAATCTGTTGGCTATAAGGCAGGGTGGCACATGGCAGAAGAGTAAGTTCGTGGCAGCGGAAGACAGCAAAAGTACCAAGAGCAAAAGGGGGAAATAAGCCTCTTTCTGCCCATTTTATCTTATCCAGACTGCTGGGATTAGGGCGGTGCCAATCCAGTCAGTGGACTGAGCCAGCAGTCACCCATCCTTAATCCCAAGCACCCTTAATCCTGGTGTTGAACTCTAGATTCAGCTATTTCCAGAAAAGCTTGCTCCTCCCCTGCCGGACTTCATAAGGCTTTGGGGAACATTTAGACCATAACAGGCAGCTAGCTATAAAGGGAAAAGAAAGTGTATTCTAGCCAGATCATGGGAGAGGGTCTTTTGGTTCTGACTTGTTTTCTCACTTGGTTTGCTAGACTTGGAGTCGTAGTGTCCTGTAGTACTTATCAATTGCTGCTCAGTCTCTCACAGTCACTGTTCTCTTTGACCTTGTGCATGTTACGTGCTTGATGCCAGGGAACATGACATGCTGCTGGTCTGTTACCTCACTCTGAGCATTGAGCAATGGTTTCCAAGTTTAGAATAAAGGTGATAGTGATGGTGGGGGGATTCCTGGACTCCTTTCACAAAGTCTCAGAGGAAATTGGAATCATGGGTATTTCTTTTTTTTTTTTTAAATGGGTGTTTATCTCACAAGCTGTCCCGTGGCACAGAACCAGGTCCGCTGTCCCATCTTGACATTTACAGCTACTGTTTGTGAGGCAGGAGGGCATCTATTAGATCATTGTGAGGAGCAGCAGTTCTTGGCCTTGGCTGTACTCTGAGTGACTGGGGAGCTTTAAAAACCATACCCTGGAGGTGCCAGGTTCATTGGTCTGGGGTGTGGCCTGGATTCTGGATCTGTAACTTTCCCAGGTAATATTAATGTGAAGCCAAAGTTGAGAATTACTGCTTTAGGTTTTCTGGTCTATCTTAGAAAGGAAAAATAATTATAATCTATTTTAAGAATTATTCAGATTTTTGTGGCTGTTAAAGTGCAGGACTGAAATGGTAGGATGAATTAGCATTGGGTTAGAGGAAGAGAGTCCTCGGGGAGTCAGGACAATTATTTTAACATGTTCTGCATCAATTTCTTCCTCATACCACCCCCATCTCAAACAGTCTTGAGAATAATTGTTAGAAAATACATAGAGCAAATGCCCTAACTGTGGAATCTGTAGGATGTTCTTTCCTGAATTTCTTCATATGTTCCACACCAGAAAGGTTTGTTTGTTTGTTTGTTTTTGCAGTAGTGGGGATTGAACTCAGGGTTTTCATACAGAGCCACACCCCAACCCCTTTTTTAATGTTTAATTTAGGGGTAGGGTCTTGTTACTGGTCACTTGAATTCATACGCTCAGGTTTGTTTGATTGCCACTGACTAAAAGAAAGCCACTTATTTTGGTGAAAGGGCATAAGGATTCATTCAAAGCTGGCTTTGAGAAGATGAGGGTCCCCATTTCCCTCATATCACTATCTCCCTGTGTCCTGCTGTCTTTTTTAGGGCAAGGAATATGGGAAAAGGGAATATAGTCAGGAAAAGGTAAGCTGAGTGCTTAAATCAGAAGGGTACACAGTTAAACGAGACCAAACTGGTTTCATCTCTTTTAGACCCCAACTTCCTGTGTCTAGCATTTGCATATCATCTAGGCTGAGAAGAGGGGTTTGTGTTCATGCTGGAGGAAGCCACTTGTCTCCAAAGGGGAAAAAGAAAAAAACAAATTCCATTTTGCTGTCCCACTTACAGTCTAAGTTGCCCAGACTGAGCTCAAATTTGAAATCCTACTGCCTCGGCCTCCCGGAGTGCTGGGATTACAGCTATGTGCCACCTCACCCAACCACCAGGAAGGCTTTGTAAGAAAACAAGCGATTTCTCATTTTGGGGTCCAAAAATAAAAGTTCATTGTCTCAGCTAGGACCACCCTGTCAGAAGGTTGGGACTGGTTTTATAAGACACAGCTGCTTGGTGGCCACCTCTGCTTGGAGCCAGGAACCCCATCTGAGGACTTGCACGAATTAGTTAGGTTTCTGTTGCTTCCCTGTGGGCTGTGAAGGAATCGCCCATTATCAGAATTGTTAGCTGAGTGGAGATGCGGATGAAAGGGAGCCACGGGTGGAGGCCCACCTGGATACTGGGGGCAAGGAAGGGTGCAGGCTGTGCAGAACCACAGCTTTGGCTTTGACTTTGCCCCTTTCGGGAATCCACTCGTGTTCTTGTCTGCCATTATGATTCTGCCTTGGGTCTTCTGCAGTTCATCAGAACACAGTTTATTCTACAGTGGCTGTATTTTAATCTGTTTGATGGATTTGAAATATAGCCTCATTTCCTTGGAGGCTTCAAAACCTGATAGTATCATTTTTACGCTTTTATGTCAATTTCTCTTCTGCCTGTGACACTGTTTCAAGATAGGCTGATTCTTCCTGGCTTCAAGGGGCATCACGCCAAACTCCGGGGCTTTCCTGACCCCAGAGGGGTGGTATTTTCTGGTGAGAAGTAAGTTGTGAGTGGCCTGAGCTTGACACATATCCCATCTTGAACAAGCTGAGTACTTAAATCAGAATCAAAACTCTGATCTTTTGAATTTTGATCAAATGCCTTTTCCCTTTGGCCAGAGTGAGGCTAATTTAATTTTTCTATCCCATGGTTTCTTTTGTAGGGGTTCAGCTGTTGCAAAAATAATTGGTAATAATGTCAAGAAACTGCAGAAATTTGCCTCCACAGTCAAGATGTGGGTCTTTGAAGAAACAGTCAATGGGCGAAAATTGACAGACATCATAAATAATGACCATGAAAATGTAAAATATCTGCCTGGACACAAGCTGCCAGAGAATGTGGTAAGACTTTGGGATGGATAGTACGTTTGCTTCATTCTGCAGGTTATGCTGGGTTAAGCAGTACTTGGAGTCTGGCCACAGAGAAGCTACTTCTCCTTTCCCCAGTTCCTGTCTACCACCAAGTACTTGGTAGGTTTTGGTTTTCTTGAGTCTGAAAACAGGGTTCATACTAGTTTGCTAGGGCTGCCATAACAAAGGGCAAAGACTGGATGGTTTAAACAACAGAAATTTATTTTCCTATAATTCTGTCTTCAACAATTTCGGAGGCTTAGTATCTGAGATCCAGTTTCTTCTGAGTCTTCTCCTGGGCTTGCAGATGGCCTCTTCTTCTGGTGTCCTTCCTTGGTCTTCCTCTGGTCCTATAGCAGAGAAGCCTTTTCCTGTGAATCATGCTGAATTAGGACCTACCCCACTGGCATCATTTAGAGTTAATTACCTCTTTTTTTTTTCCTTCCCATACTGGCAGTTGAACCTGGGGCCCTTACACTGAGCTATATCCACAGCCCTTTTTAAAATTTTTTTGAGACAAGCTGGACTTGATCTTGTGATCTTCCTACCTCATAATCATCTGTTTAGATACAAACACATTCTGAGATACTGGGGTTTAGGATATCAACATCTGAGTTTTGCGGGTACAGTACAGTTCTTCCTTGGTATTCAAGGTACAGGTCACATCAGAACTAGAACTAACAGCTTTCTGCTGTGTGTGTTCCCCAAGCAGCTCCTGAGATATTTTCAAAGAGCATGAAACTTTGATTAGCTCCATGAGGCAGCTAATGCACTGGTTTGTAATTAAAATCAGGGTCAATGGGGCTCGGGATTTAGCTCAGCAGCACAGCACCTGCCTGGCAAGCACGAGGTCGTGAGTTCGATTCCTGGTACCAGAAAAATAAAATAAAATAAAATCAGGGTCAAGGCCTATATTACAGACAGAGATAGAGGACAATGGGAAACTGTAATGTATTGTAATGATGATTATGATTGAAAAGGGAAGGAAACCAAGACTTATAGAGGCCAGTGAACTTGCCCATGGTCCCACAGCTAGGGCTGGTAATAGGATTTGCTTCCTGATGGGTTCATTCCTAGGCCTGCTCAACCTGTTGGCTTCTAGATAATGACTTTCTCCTCTGTGTCACTGAAGGATGGTGGGCAACAGTTGCCCATGGTTGCACCCCAAGGATGCAGTTGATGAGGGGAGAGAGGGTCCCTAGGACCGTGAATTTGGAAGATGTTTAAGTGTCCAATGGAAATAAAAAGGGCAGCAATAAAAGACATCTAGTGTCATTGTTAATTCATCCTTGGGGTAGAAATTCTTCTGAGCTTTTCTTTTCTAGCAGAGTCGTTGCTTCCCTTCCGTAAGCCATATACCTTGTGATGTCCTTTTGCGATAGTTCTGTGTATCAACCTGTCTGCCTCCACCTGCCGCAAGTGGGTGACCCTGACTTTCTAGTTCTTTCCAACTTTTTAGGTACTTATGGTACCTAGCCTGGTATTTTTCTTTTCTTTTTTTTGTCTTTTTGAGACAGGGTCTTGCTATGCAGTTCAGGCTGGCCTGGAGCTCAGCCCAGGCTGGTCTTGAACTTGCGATGATCCTCCTGCGTCAGCCTCCTGAGTCAGCCTCCTGAGTGCTGGGATTACAGGTGTGAGAGCAATGTTGGAGGAAGTGACTTTGCTGTGTGGTTCTGTGAAGCTCAGACCTTGTACTATCTGCAGGGATGATGCAGGGGAGGGAATGGACAGTGCGGAGCCAAGGACCAGCATCACCACCGACAGCCTGACCCCACTGCCACCCGGTCTGCAGGTGTGGACAGAGGGAGGACAGAAAGGAGGAGAAGTTTGCTCCCAGGAGCCTAGTGATGTCCAAAGCCTTGTAGGTTCATGAAGATGAATATATTCATTCTCTGGAGTGGACATTTGCGTGACTCCCAGCTTTTTCTTGTTATAGACAGTGGTTCTGGGAACTCCTTGGCTGTGTCCTAGGAGTGGAAACCCAGGGCCACAGGAAATGCACAGTCTTTTACCTCCAACCTCTGCTACCCGCTAAAAGGATACCTTTTAACCATTTTTATTCATGTGCATTCAAGGAGAGATACTCATTTTTGTCAGTACAGGATTGCTATTTATGATGTCCGTTAATGTGCTGACTTGAGATGATGACTCTTTTCTGCTTAGAGCCTCCAAATCGCTGCCCACCTGACCCTTCCCCAGGTCCACTCTCATTGCGTGCCCCCTACTTCCCTCACAGGAACCTTCTGTAACAATGACTTCACCACTGTCCTCAGCTGCTACTGAAAACAGGGCTGAGTTTGTGATTTCTCCTTAGATCTGAATGGAAAGAGCACTTGTTATTTCCTGATGTTGCAAGGTAAAGATCGTTGATCCTGTTTTATAGTTCTCCATCACACGCCTGTGTTTAGAGCCAGGTAGAGGCTCTTCTGCCTTTTTTCTCCAGATTTAACCAGCCTCACTGTGACAACAGGATTATGATTACAGCATCCTCTATGAAATGCTGTTGCCATTCTGTCTCGTCTTGTCTTCTGAGCTCTGCCAGCTTTTTAAAAAACTGTTTTACTATGATATAATCCATGGGCTAATCGATTCAGAATTTTTTTTTTTTGTATGTTCATATAGCTGCAATCATCATCACAGTCAATTTTCAAACATTTTCATTACCTGAAAAAGAAAGCTTTTATTCTGTAGTAGTCACCTTTGCTCCCTGGCTCTATAGATTTTTTTTTTTTTTCTCCCAGCACTTGAATTGAACCCATAGCTTCATGCGTGCTAGGCAAGTGCTATACCATTGAATTCCTTCCCTGGCATGATTGGCCTGTTCTTGCTTTCTTTTTGGTACTGGGAATTGGACTCAGGGCCTTGTGCTTCCCAGGCAGGTGCTGTACCACTGAGCTACATCCCCGACCCTGATTGGCCTGTTCTTGACATTTCATATGCAGTAGATGATGTCTTATGCTGTTATTTCTGTTGGTGGGACAAAATACTGGACACCTACAAGTTAAAAGAGGAAAAGTTTCTTTTAGCTCACAGTTTATAGAGGTTTCAGTCCATAGTCAGTTGGCTCTAGGGCAGAGTGGCAGTGGAGAAACAGTCCATAGCACAGAAGGCAGGAAGCAGCAGCCTTTTTTCTGCTTTCTCTTTTATTCCTTTCAGGCTACAAGTCTATTGGTTGGTGCCACTCACAGCCAGGGTGAATCTTTTCTCTTCAATAAATCCATTCAGCCACACGCAGAACTACACTTATCCAATCAGTGGGCTAATCTAGTTATCACATGCCCACAATCTGTATTCACACACCCGAGATCCAGCCACCTACGAAAACCCCTACCTATGAGCACCTGAGGCTTTGTGGGGGCATCTAGGCAAGCCGTAACAGGTGTGGTCTTCTGTGACTGGCTGCTTTCACTCAGCATGTTTTCATTCTAGTCCATTGTGTAGCATATAGCTGAATATTGTCCTATTGCATGTGCTTTATTCCATTTCCTGTTGCTGTAAGAGAACACTATAGACTGGATAATTTACAAAGAAACCTATTCCAGGGGCACAGCAGCAACATCTGGTGAAATCTTTCATGCTGCATCAGAGTAAGGCAAAGGTGAGGGGTAAGTAGAGGTGCACTTGCTTTATAGTAAACCCTTTTCACAGTAAGTGGCTCACTCCCATGATAACAGCATTAATCCTTTGAGAGACTCTGCTTCCGTGACCCAGTCACCTTCCACTGGGCCCCACTTCCCAGCACCACTGCACTGGAAGTCAGACTTCCAACACGTGCATCCTCTCAGCTCTAGCATTTTGTTTGTCCTTTAGTGGGTGAATGTTTGAGTAGTTTCCACTTCTTGGCTATTGTGGGCAATAGTTTCCACTTCTTGACTGTTGTAGGCAATACTGCCATGAGCCTTTGTGGACAATATTTTGTAGAAATGTATGTTTTTGATTCTTCTGAGTATAAATCCAGGGGTAGAATTGCTGGGTCCTCTAATAATAACTCTTTAACTTTTTGAGGAACAGCGAGACTATTTTACAAAGTGGATGCATCATTTTACATTTCCATCATAGTGTGAGAGGATTCCAATTTCTCTATATCCTCACCAGCACTTATTATTACCTGCCTTTTTAATCCTCACTGTCTTAGTGGAGTGACATAGTGTTCCATTAGTGGTTTAGATTTCATTTGCCACTTGGCTAACAGTATTGTACATCTTTTCATGTGCTTATTGACCATTTCTGAACCTTTGGAGAAACGTATATTCAGATCCCTACGCATTTATAAAATTGGATTGCCTTTTAGAGTTGTAAGAATTCTTTATATATTCAGGCCTCTTTTCAAGTAGAATTCATAAGGATTTTCTCCTGTCCTATGTGTTGTCTTGTCACTTGCTTGATAATATTCCTTGAAGCATAAAAGTTTTTATTTGATTGATTGATTGATTGATTGTGGTACTGGGAATTGAATCCAGGGCCTAACACTGAATTATGCCCCCAGCCATTCTTTATCATGAGACAAGGTCTTGCTAAGTAGCTAAATTGCTCAGGCTGGACTCAAAGTTGAGATCCTCCTGCCTCAGCTTCCCAGAGTGCTGGGATTATAGGCGTGCATCGCCATGTCTGGCAAAGTTTTAAATTTTGAAGTCCACTTTTTGCTTCTTTTCTTATCTGCCAACTCTTGGGCTGTGGTTTCTTGTATAGATCTGCATTCTTTGCTTTTCCTTAGCACCTGACATAGTGGTTGGCCTTATTTATTAAATTAAATAAATTTTAATTTATTTATTAAATGCCAGGGAGAGTGGAAATGGCAAAGAACAAAATAGGTGAAGAGCTTTGTTTCAGATGGGATCCCATGTGTAATGAAGTTAGAGCAAGACATTAAAATATTGGCCATTTATTTATGGGTAATAGGGTTGGGATGGTATCTATTAATTTTGGCTGAAAGGTTTCTGAAAATTAGAATACAGGTTCAGTGGTAAGCCTTGGTGTTCACTCTTTTCCCC